CGGAGCTAAATCGGAGGCCGCCGGAAAATCTGGAAGCTGGCAGTGGATAGTCTCGGTCGGCGGCGTGGTGTCTGTGAAGGGGAGGTCTTCGACGGCAACACTGCATCACGATGAAGCAGGTATGCAGCATGTCTGAGGAGGAGAGGACGTCCGCCGCGATGGAGGTGTGGCAGGCGGCGGGTTTGCGGCGGAGTTGCGACAGGTCTCGGTGACACGGCGGCACTGTGAGCGGTGGTTGACGGGGCGGCGGATGAGCGGTGGCGAGCTGTATATATGTGTGTGTGTGTGGATTTAGTGTGTGTGGGTGTGTGAGAGAGAGAGTGTGTGTGGGGGGGGTGGTAGGTTGGTGGGTGGGTTTGGTTAACACGTGCATTAATGTGGTGTGTATAGTTGGTTGGCAGGTGCATTATTTGAGCGGGCCCCACTTATTTTGGTGTGTAAAATTACTACAATATCCTTAATGAAGGCATAATTTTGACTTTTTATTAACCATTAGATCATGCAATCTAATGGTTACGATTCATTCTTATTTCTCTCACTAAGTATCATTCTCACTGGAGCGTGACCCTATATATATATATATATATTTATATACGCGACGTTTTCCAACCGTTGGGGATGGAGAAGCGTGTGTAACCGTCGCGTCTTTTGGAGAAAATCCCTTTAATCCCGTCATAAATGTTCATGGCTTAATCTCAGACGTACGCGTGTCCTGAAACTGTCAGAATTCACGCCCGCTATTTTTGGTACGTGTCCGTTGGGAAGAGTAGTGGGAAAGACACATTCATAACCTTAGTAACCGCCTCTCGATTTTACGCACGCTTATCGGCTGAAGAAATATGAGATTTTTCGACTCAGAAAATCACCTCGGTATGTCCTAGTCTAACTTATGTGGCAATAAAAAAAAGAGACCAAGTCCACTCTTGGTTCTATTTTGGACCCAAATGTGAACCTTACAATAGCAATCATTTACTATTATCATATTTTTATTAGTTGTTAAGCATTCTAGACCTAGTACATTTTTTTTGCATTGGATAAATTTTGGACTTTTTAGCTGGGGTTTGTCTACATCTTTTTAGGAGGAAATTGCACCCTCTACATCAGCTGCCCTAATATATTATAAACTTACAACCGTTTGTTAAATATTTATGTAATTACCAAACTAAGCATAAATTATTGCTAATATACCTAAAGTTATAATTAGGGAGTTATATCAGATAATTAGGGAGATTTGACCTAAAATTACTCTGTGCTATCATTACTCTCTCACTCTCTCTGCAAAACTTTCCTCGCCCCACGTTCATCCTTCTCAACACAAAGAAACCGTCTTCAAATGGCCAAGACCAAACTACCAATTTCGACTCCAAAAAAACCGATAAACGGTGCCGACGAAACCCCAAAGAATAGATCGAGTGCCCGGCTTCGTAGAATTCAGTCAAAAGCACAACCCAAATTATTATGAACTTCAACCGAGTTTGCTGGGAATTGAAAAAAAAAATCTAGTTTGTTGAAAGGATTTGCGAGACCTGGCAGGATCCATGTTTTTTGTGGGCTAGGGGCGAAAAAAATAGTTTTTTTGTCTTGATTTTGTGAGAGTGCGGAGTTCTGGTAAGATCTTGGGTTTTATTCCTTTTTGAAAGGAACTTGTTGGGAGATTTAATTTCCTTGTTAAGAAATTTAGTCGAGAATTTTAGATATGGGAGGATTGTAAATTTGTGTGAGTTTTTTGAAGAGTCAATGGGAGATTTAATTTGGTTGTACGAGGAGGCGCGCGACGAAGTTGAGGAGGGAGCAATAGGTGGCAGGGTCGGGGGGCGTCCATGGCGGAGGAGGATAACGATTGAAGATAGATTTTCCCATTCTCTTTCTCCGTCAGCCATTTTTTTATTTTTCCATTTTCCATTCACAGGGGTTGGAATTGCATATGAATGATCCAGTGCATCCCAAGCCCAAACCATTTGGAAGAGTTTTATGATGCCCTCAATTTCTGTCGGTGTCCTCGTCGAGGGTTGCGGCATCGCCATGGTTGGGGAAGATGATTGGTTGGTTGTAGGAAAATCGATGTTTGGTTCGATTTTTTCATTATACAAATTAGTTTATGATCAGTATGTGTAAGTATATGTACAGGATATGTACAGGACATGTACATTTACTGTATATCTTAGTTTATGTTTGGTATATTAGTTATGTACAATTAGTTTGTGAATGAATGTTTGTTTTTTTTTGTTTTCAATGTTTATTTATGTTTGGTATATTAAAATTTTTATTTTTGTTGAAAACGAATTTAATTGATTTGTTGTGTATATGTATGGTTTATTTTTTAAACTTGGTTTATCTGTCACATATGTATTGACTTGAGATGACCAATATATACTTCATCTAATTCTTATCAGAGCACGTAAATCATTTTCTAGGATGATGGAACCTTTTATTAGTACTATCTCATGACTGGCAAGAAAACAGAAGCTCCTGAACAGAATAAAGCACAGAAAACTCTTGGGAGTCCACAAGGCACAAGTCACTTTCTAATGAAAACATTTATTGAATACCTACCATTTGGATCCTTAACACCCACCCAGAATAACCAACAACCGTAAACAGACCTTTCAGCATAAGATACTCTCAATCACTTCAATATCCCAGACATTCATACACTATATGTACAGTATATGATGAGTATATATACAGTATATGTTACATATATACTTTTTTTCTATCTGTTTTGACGAAAAACTTCTCAGAGGATAATTGTCGAACACTTGATTTCTTGATTTTTGATAGATAGTTCTATTCTGTACATGTTGCCGGTATATGTTGTTGTTATATCCAGTATATTTTCAGTATATGTTTCGGTATAAAAATTTACACGTTGCGGGTATACATCAAAGTTGTACAACACACATATACATAAAATATACATAAAATATGCATAAAATACACACTCGAGATTCACGTAATTCAAATCTGCCACACCACATATACACAAAATATACTTTAAATATACACTCGAGTTTCAATCGTTTCTCAAAATCGATTTCAGAACCCACATATTCATAAAATATACCTAAGATATACACTCGAGATTACGTAGATGAGACGAGCAGACAAGAAGGTCTCAGGCGGTAGTTGAGCAGGTCCAATTGGTCATCTTTTCTTTCTTTTTCGCTGTATTGTTTTCTTCCTTTTAAAATCTTGACTTCCGAGGGTTTGTGGCCGGAAAAACCCGTGTCTTGGAACATGGGCACTGTTGCATACGAAGCAGGCGCGCTTATCTTGGCCGAGGGCTGCAGCCGGAGTGTGCTGCCTGCCGTGAATGGCCTGGTGCTCTTGGTACTCGCCGGAATTTGGTGCATCTCGGGTGCCCTCGAATCTCCTTGCCTGAAATCGAGGTTTCTAGTGCTCGTGGATCGCCGACTCGCACGACTTTCTCGTTGCCGGAAAATTGGTGGCCTCCTTCTTGCAGAGGAAGATGACGGTTTTTTGGGAAGTTTCTGAGGGATTTTTTTTTACCGAAGGAGACGAAGATCTGTAACTATCAAATATGGAATCAAGATCTGTAACTGATTTTTAGGCAACAATATAACTAATTACTAGCTATTAGGTATATACACAATTAATTGTGTATTAATGGTAATTTTGCAATATTCCTACAATCGTGTAGGATAAGTGAAAATGTCCCTTTTTTTAGACTAGGTCTATTTCTTAAGTTGCATACAATTTTTTGTGATTGAACCCAAAGCATTGTGGATGCTTTTATGAAGTCAGGAGGGTTGACTGGTTAGCGGAATTCAATTCGACCCGACTTATAATAATATATAATCACTATTATATTCTTCAATATATTCACTATTAATTAATTTACTCGCATTATTTAACTATTAATAATTTACATTCATTATTTCTAAATTTTTCTATTACATCACATCAAATTATATTCATTAAATTTTATCATGTGTATATGTAAATATAAAAGGTATTTAGTTTTTTCGAATATAAATATATATATATATATATATATATATATATGTGTGTGTGTGTGTGTGTGTTTAACGTTACTTGTTTCATTCAAACAACTTTTCCAAATTAATATATTTTCACTCCCGCCAAAAGCCTCAAATGAAATTCTTCAATCATTTTTTTTTCGTCCAAAAAACCCCATTTATCTCGTCTTCTTAGGCTCGGATCTGTGCCTTCCCCAATCGTTCTCGCTGGACTGCTGCGGCGGAAGTCGTCACCGGGACGTGTGGCTCGGACCCTAGAGAGGTTCTGCCCGGAGCCGCGTTATTTCGTCGGCGGAGTAGGCCGATCACCCCCGAGTGGGTTTCGCCGTCTTGGTCGCCATGGGGGGTGGTGGTTCGTCGATTCCCCAATGGCTTCGTGGCGGTGGGCTGTGGTGCTTCGTCAAGAGAGGGTTGCGGCCCCGACCTACCTCTTTGTGGTGGTCGGGGCGAAGGATTGTACCCCTTTCCTCCTCCTTGTGTCTCTTTTTTTTTGGTGTCAGTCTGAGGAATCGGACGACGAACCCGTGTCGCGAGCTATGTTGGGTCTGGGCATGGGTTGTTGGTGGTGTTAGGGTGGTTTGGGGGTCGACCTTCGATTGCGGGTCTGGGGTCGTCCGCCTTGGTGTGGGGTTGTGTCGTTAGTTGCGGATCTAGTTAGAGATTGTTTTCAAGATTTGTTTCTTGGGTCATGACTCTGTGCGTGTGGGTGGTTGGTCGTAGGTGTTATTGTCTTGGTTAGCTCGATGGAGTCGGTTCCGGGAAGGGCTTTTTTCTTTTTCCTAGTAGTATTGTTAGTGTTCTGTTTTGGGTGTTTGAGGTGCCTTAGTGTTGATATTTTCTTTCTCCCAGTTGGGACGCTTTCGTTTTTTCCAATTTTTATTCTTCTTTTAGAAGCTGTTATTCTTCCATATGAGAGCTATATAGTTTGTTATATCGTGGGTGAGTTAGTGTAGAAGTCTTAGGCTACACTTGTGTAGTCCTCTCGCTAAATTCAGTTGGATGGCTGTTAAGCTAATTCTAACAGATGTCTAGATGTACAACCTTCTGTCATCGTCCTCCAACGTACACCATATGTGTTTTTAATTATAACATCCTATCGTCTCAAAAAAATAAAAAACTCAAACGAACATTATGAAATACCATTAAATTCTTCAGCTAAAGTTACTTTATGCATATATATACTCCCTCCTACTTTTAATAAGTGTCGTTTTGAGAAGTTGCATAGTAATTAAGATTTTTTTTGCGAATAATAACTCTCATTAATGAGGATAGATATTGATGTTTTGAGAAAAGACAAATAATGAATATGAAAAGACGTAGTATATTTATTAGTTAAATGAGGATAATATAATAATAGAAAAATATGTACAAAAAATCTAAAACTTCATTTATTTAGTTAATTATTGATAAAACTAAAATGTCATTTAAAAAAATAGGAGGTAGTATATATTATTTTAACAAAAATCAATGATCGATTATGTACAAACTCAACAAACGAGGTATTAATAATAATTAAACAAATCAACAAATATTTATTCTTCTTGTCTACTTACCCGAATAGGAATGTTCGATTTTCGCAATATCAACAACATATTCCAATTAAATAATTGAATATATTGATGATAAAAAACTAACAAATAAAGTTTTTCAAGCATATTGCATACTTTTTTCGTTAATCAATTATCTAAGAATCAATTACTTCAAATATATAAATCGAAATTCACTATTCTTACACATTACATCAACTTCAATTCACTATTTATCTACTCACATAATTTTAACTAACCATACTTTCAATCTTTTTTCTCATGTTTTTACATCAAATCAACTTTAATTATTTTATTTAATTTAAACTTAAATTTTCACGAACACACATTTTTTAAAATTAATTATGATTAAAAAAAATTCAATAAAAACCCAATCAAATTTATATCCAATCCCACCCTTACTTTTTATCCCCTTGTATCTTCTGTTTTGTATCAAATTTTACATTTCAAACTAAAAAATTCCAATACTTTGAATCCCTACCCTATTTTATATATTCCATTTGTGTCTGAAAGTCTAAACCACAAAACTAAAAAACTAATTAGATCATATTCGAGTTAGTGGATTAATACAAAATTAGCGGATTAAATTTGCCATCAAATTACTAATTAGGTTTTAAATAACTTATTTCATTAGCTTTTAAAATTCAAAGTTCTAATTTTGAAAAACAGAACATCAATATAAAAAATGTTTTGATAACAGAAATAACATATCAATATAAAATATTAAAAATGATCAAATTCTTCAATTAACAAAACAACTAAAAGGAAATTTCCCCAAACAATAACTCACAACTTGGACCAATCAATCATCTAAACTCTCTCACTACTCTCATGGCTTCCTCTTTCGCCCTAATTGCCCTCAATCCCAACCCCTCCACACGCTTACCCTCTTCCCCAACCCCTCGCCGGAAAACGGCGGCCATGGCTATCCGATCGGAGATGAAGGTGTACAGAGGGACCTGGATGAAAGAGCAGTGGCTGGCGGAGATGATCGAGCGGAAGGTGACGGAGGCGAAGCGGGTCTGCGGCGAGGACGCGGCGTCGGACGAGTGCAAGGTGGCGTGGGACGAGGTGGAGGAAGTCAGCCAGGCGAAAGCCGATCTCCGGCTGAAGATCCAAATCCTCAGCCGTGATCCGCTCGAGGACTTCTGCCGGGAGAATCCCGAGACCGACGAGTGCCGGATTTATGAGGGTTGAGGTCGGTGGGTTTGGTGAATTTGGTTTAATTTGATTATTGGGTATCCTTTTTGGGGATCTCCATTTTTTTTCTTTTGATTTGCAATAAGATTATGCTTTGTTGTAAGTTTGTGCTTACAAAATTCAATCGTCTTATTTAGGTGTCTATGTGCATGTTAACGAATGTCCAATAGTAGTAGTGACACTCTGAGATTTGAGGTTCAAAAATTTTAAAAAGAAATGTAACTTTTATATTTATTATGATGTGAATTATTTTGAGCTTCAAATTTTTCAGAAAGAAATGAACTTGAATTGTAAACATATACTAGTATTTATTATGAGAAAATTTTGGTACTCCAAATATAGTTGTTTCCCATATTTTTTTCCTTTTCAATTTAGGTATTCAATGTTTTAACTTAATCAATTTTTTGTCAATAATGTTTTTAAAATCAAACATTTTTTTTTGATTGGTAAAATAAATTTTATAGAACAAAATTGATGTTACATCAACCGTCACACGGCATACAAAAGCAAAGTGGGCGGCCACAATCTCAGCTCCTCACTCGCTAATCAAAATAATGAGAGGCAAACCACATGTCGGTTGCTCAGCTCAAACCAAAATGAAACCCTAAATCAAAATAAAACCCTAATCAAAATGATTATAGATATCTAATCATACGTACCTTAAGGAGGCTTCGCCTAGCCTTTTCCGAAGGCTTTTCTCTCCATTTCGGCAAGAACATTCGGGTACAAAACAAATATAGTCCTATAGACATGGGTTTGAATCTTCCGAATAATGAGCTCCGGAGGTTGCACTTTGTTTTCGAATATCTTCCTATTCCGAACATTCCAAAGAAAATACACCGTTGACGCGAGCCCAGCCTTCCTTGCATTTGTTCTCCAACCAGAGCCTTGAGATTCCTTCTTAATCCACTTCAATGCACTCTTTAGTGTGGAGAGTTGTCGCCTCAATCCTAGTCAATGTCGGATGCCAAGTCAAACTTGAGCCGAAAGGGGGCAAGTGAAAAAGAGATGATCCTTGATCTCGGAAGTTTACCCACAAAAGGCACAAGTAAAGTCGATATTAAAGAAGTCAAGCCTATCCTTCGTTCGGAGCCTCCCGAGCGTTGCAAGCCAAAGGATGAAGGCGTGTTTGGGGTTATTAGCTGACCCCCAAACCACTCCCTTCCCAGGGACGGGTGTACCTTGGGACCGAAAGAACTCGTAAACGCATCTAAATGATTTTGGTTAAAAATGTCGGCCACCGCCTTTCGTTACACTATGTCGCACGGTGAATTTCAACAAATTACATGTTATTCCAAAACTCTCGACTTAAATACTTTCAATTTCATCATATGATACTCAATTTGTCAAAATCGTTATTAATTTTAGGGATTCTATACAAAATGAAAACTAATTAAATATACTCTATAATTGAAAATTAAATCAATCCAATTTATTTATTTATATTTCATATTTGGGCAATATAACAATTTAAACGCCTATTATTAGTATTGATAGACTTTAGGGTGCGACTGATTATAAATTCTACTCGATTGGGCTTGCTTGGATAAAATTTTTTCAAGAATAGTTGATTGAATACCTTTTTTTTCCTCATCATATCAACACAATTAAAAAATATAAACCATCATTACTATACATTTTTTTAAAAAATTCACCATTCGTTCACTAATATATTTTTAATCATCAATCATGTACAATTATTATTTTACTAAAATAATCACATCAATTTTATTCATTACATTAATCTCCAAATTGCAACTAAAACTGAACATAAATTAAACAATCTCCATTTCCGCAATTATTATTTTACTAAAATATATCACATTCAACTTTAATTATTACATTCGTCTCCGGATTGCAACTACAACCGAAGTAACTCAAATTAACCAATCTCCATATTGCAACTAAAACTGAACATCAAAGTTCAACTGCCTGTCAGCCTGTGTGAAAGTGTGAAACTAAAGAAGAAGAAAAAATTGACGATTATACAAAATCACCATGCCCACGACGATATTTGCATCATCATTAGTTATCTTATTTCATCACTTACCAGTAAAACAACAATACAATTCATTCGAGCTGGCTACGTTTATTTGCCTATGAAGATTCTATTTATAACGTCAACTGGCAGTGCATACGCTGGATCTATAGCTTTCACACCCGGATATTCGAGAAGAGACAGGCCTGCAAATCAAAGAAAGTCACAATTTTGAAGACAAACGAAACTAGAAACAGATGAATACGGTTTCTTAATCCCTCGGATGCATAATTAAGTTCGGTAACTAAGCCACATGTTAAAGTGGGGATTAACATGTTTGGATATGAAAATTTTTGGTTTTGTTGGATTTTTTTGTTTGGTTTGGTTAATTTTGAAAAAAGGTAGTATGGTTAATTGTTAGTGGGTATATTAAAATAATATTTAAAATAAAATAATTAAAATTTGATGTGATGGTTAGTTAAAATATTGTGAGCGGATGAATTGTGAATTAAGGTTGATGTGGTGTATATGAATGATTGATGGATATTATTTAATTATATTGATAATATTGATGATAGTGGGGTTGAGTTAAAAAAAGTAGTTGAGTTAAAATGTTGAAATTTATTTTTGAGATTTCTTATATACAAACATCTCCTAAAAGGCTCCAAACTTACCAGCAACACCAAAATAGGTGTGATAAACATCGACCGCATCATCTGGCCTATCAGAAATTCCACCATTTTCTTTATCCTGCACCATTAAGCCACACATTGACCCAAAATTTCTTAATTTTTTGATGATAACCGAAATTTCGAGAATCATGCCTCCAAATACCAAATAAAATATTTAATCTGAAAATCTCAATAACCTGACAATCCAAGATGAATTTAACGAGTTTTTCCTTGTCAATCCAGTGAACTCTATCGATCATGATCAAACTGGAAAGAACCCACCATGAATAGCAGACCTGCAGTTGGTAAAGGGTAATAAATCATAAGCTTCCTCCTGAAGATTTTTTTTTTTTTTTTTTTTTTTTTTTTTTTTTTTTTTTTTTTTATTTGCATTTCTTAGGCTAGTGATACATAAACTATAAACTGTGACCTACATCAGGAAGCTTTTCTGGCCGCCCATTTAGACCTCCCGATTTCACTTGTCGTTCACATAACCACCATCCGAGGAGATCCTTGTCAACATGATGCAATGAACCAGTGATAGCAAGGGCTCCAACACAACAGAAAACTGCAATATAGTTCATAAAGTTCTTTGCTCATTAGTTCCTACACGAGACTAACCAGTGATGAGACTCGATTTTAAAATGTTTGCTAAATGAGATGTTTCATCTGCGAGTTTCTGCTATCTCATTTCTAGGTGGCTTATGACATTAATTTTTCTCTTTTGTTTTTTGGTTAGTTCGTCAAGTCAATCATTTAAGAAGCTATGTACTTTATTATCATAAAAGATGTACTGTGTAATAATATTGTTTGCATCCGTCTAACTGTGGTGGCTGACTAATGATTAGAAACTATCCACGAGAAACTGAATGGGATTAGAACATAATATATAATACTTACTTTGTCCAGCATGAGATTCTGCTCCAGGAGTGCATCCAAATCCACCATCCAAATTCTTGCAACTCACAATGTAGTTTACAGCATTTTCCACATTTATTTTGTCCAAGCGACGTAATAATGCAAGAGAGCATATAGCAGTGTAAGAAAACCTGAAAAGTAGTTAACTGTAGTTTAATATTGAACATGATGATACACGTCTAAAACTTAACAACAAAAATAAACGGAGAGCTTTCTACAGGAAATTACAGGGAGAAGTAGGGGAAAATAATACCTTGTATCAACTTCACCCCATATGTCACCATTAAAGGACCCATCTTCATTTTGTAGGCTGGCAATATCTAGCAATTAAGTTAAGTTTTTTCTTTTTCCAAATAGACCATGTTCTCTTTATTTGGTATGTATGAGAAAAAAAAGGAAAATATTTGCAGCAGAACCAACTAAAACAGTCGTCCAAATAAATCCAGGTGTTTGGGAATGAGAAACTACCGTCTTACACTGTTAACAGCCGCAAATTCATACGACACTTTGAAATGGCCTTTTAGACTTTTTTTGGCATTTAACATATTTAAGTTCAATTGCATGAATACTTCAAGTAAAAGTCGAAATTGAAAGATACAGTTGGCAACCTTCTCAACATCAAGAATATCTATCTTGTTAAACAGGGCTAAGACCTGAATAGCACTGAGTGTATATAATACATGAGGGTCATGTCCTATATTTCCACCAAAACCGCCTGCATGAATGAAGCCATAAAAAAGGTGTAAAAAAACAAATTAATCACAAGTGAAACTACCTTTATCAGCAGCTCGTCTCACACAAGAAGATGAAAGATCACTTGTATTAACTCATTCATTCCCGACTAGAAATCCATTAACACACATTTTTAACTACTTGTAAATATATAATCAACCACCTTGGATATCATAAAATTCAAGAGGAATACAAACCAGATTCGTGCTGGCACTGCATGACCCATGAAACAACCTTATCTTGATCAACAACACCAAGCTTTCCTAAAATATCAAGAGTAGTCAATCCCCAATAAGCGCCATTTATTCGTAGGTGCTCCATCACCACTGATTCAAAATCATCTTTTCTCTGAGGAGAGTAAGTGCCAAGTAATACTTGGTGAATAACGGATAAAAAATCACCAGGTAAAAAACGACACAGAAAACAACCCAAACATTTTACCAACTTGCCACAACAAGATGATACTAATACTTCTTCAAAGCAAGAAATATTGATCGTTATTTAACAAGCTCATATCGGAGCTTACTGAAGATAATGCTGAAGCTAGAAGACGTTCTTTTTCTTGAGTGATTCAAGGTGCAAGTATATGGGTATTTTTCGGAAATTACATTAACATTTTTCATTTCGTTTTTCTTTTTTCTAAGCTCCAATGTAGCATTATAAAAGAATTTCATATTCCACATACATGAATACAGTAGGGTTGTTGTAAAGTCTTCATATTTTTTCAACATATATGCATACATTCAAATTCAAATGTCATGCTCTAGAAAATACTATAAACAAAAGTATGATAGTTTATAACACAAGTATGCATTTGTGTTAAGAAAAAGTATGACAATTAGGCCATCTCACACAAGAATTAGTGTTCATGGTCCCCATCTCTGTTGGTATCAAAATCAGATAACTCCAACAGCAAGCATATAAGTATTTGTTGATTGATAACTAGTCTTAGTACTTCCAGTAAATCAATGAATCTCGATATACAAAGGCAAAGCTAAACTTGAACACCCAAACAAAAACGTACAAAGAAAGTACGCCATTTATGGTGTCATCTGAACAGAATTGAAAA